TGGCAAGGGTAAATGAAATAACACATACAAAGTAAAAATGACACTACATGAGCGAAAGATTCATTTCATTCTCTTCCTGACATTCTTAAACACTTTCCTTGGGTCATTGAACACATTTAATGTATTCATCGAAAAGCATAGCAAGGGTGCGCTGTTCCAAGGTCCCAGTGATGGATTGTAATGAAGAGTATAATGGAGGCGTCTCCAGGGCTGAGCCTCCAGCAGGAGATAATAGAGTGCAGGCGAATCCATAAAGCCAGTCTCCAAGGCTTCACACCTTCTGGCTTAAATGCTGTTATATCATTTTATTCTTACTCCGGCTCAGTTAGAAATTTCTCATTTCAAAAGTGACTGAGGTTGGCATTTTTGATAAATTGCATATTATCTCTTACTTCCTAACCTTTCTTTCTAAGTTCAAAGTCATGAAAATGTAAGAGATAAAGGATCAGCCTTGCTAATAGATATAGATGGTATCTATAGAAATAGATGGTATAGATACAGATACAGATATAGATATAGGTATCGATAGAGACAGAGAAAGAGATACATATGGATCTAGATGACACAGATACAGCAGAGATATAGATTTAGGCATAGATATAGATCTATTGAATCATTTTTGACTATTTAAACCTGGGGGAGGATCTGGGGAGGGAGGATCAGGGGAGTGGTCGACTTCAGATTTATTACCTTTAACCTTGTACGGATACTTCCCTCCCACTCTCACTGTTTCAGAGCTTAAATATGAATCTTGGATCTTGTATGTCATATGTGATAGCTAAATGGGGTAATGAATCATACTATATAGCAACTAACATTTATCAAAATAATAATTATTAAAAATAATAAAATATATCCATTTTTTATTATTTGCTTATAAAATTATCACAAAATTGTAGATTTGGTATAAGGCTGTTACAGTTTCCTAAAATTTCTTTGAGATCAAATAACCAGGAGTATCACCTTAAATGAAACATCTCCTGCATGTTGAGAATATTTTGCGTTTCATGTTGTTTACAACGTTCCCAAACTCTAAGGTTAGAGTCTCACCCAGACTCTTAAATGTATTCTTCCAAACAAAAAGTAGAGTAAATAAGGTGGCCAGAGCAGCACAAGGGAGTCGACTGGGGGGTTAGCCAGGATTGCAGGAGGTAAGGTGGGAGTGCTGGGGGACATCAGTGAGTCATTGTAAGCATGTGGGGACAGAGGATGATTTCCATGGAAACATGAGTCACCTGCACGAAGGCCTGGAGAGCACAGAGAGCATGAGGCTGGTGAGCACCCAAGCAGATGTAGGGAAGTTAGAGCAGCGGGTGTCAGTGGAAAGAAGCGGGGGATGAGCCCAGAGTGGTTAGCAGGGAACTGATCCATTTCCAGCTCTGCTAAGAGACAACCGTTAGGAGTCATTTCTATTGTGAGCAGGGGAGTGAAAGCACATGAAACCATATTTTAGGAAGATCACTTCATGTGGACGGTGGGGAATGGGGTGGAGGTGAGCAGGCTAGGGCAGGATGCCCAGTTCAGAGACGATTGTAGTGACCCAGGAGGGAAATGACGATGGCCTAGTCTAGAAAAGTGTCAGTGAGTTGGGGGGAAAGTGTCCCCAGAACCCCGAGATGTTTGGGTGGTGGGACGACCAGACTAGGTGATGGAGGCTCTGTGAAACTGGAGGAGGTAAAGGAATAAGAAATGCCTGTTTCTGCGATAGAGGCGAAATAACAACAGACCCCACAGATACAGGACGATGCCTTTCCCTGAGACAATGAAAGGCCCAGTAGGAGGTTGGGGGCAAGGAGATATGATTTCTTGGTTGGACTTGTTGCACTTGAAATGCCTCTGAGGCATCTAGGTGAGATTGTCTGTTCGCTCAGATGCAGATGCGAGTTTGAGTGAGAGAAAGAAAACCAGAGGGCATATAACAGAACCCTGGAAATACCAGCATGACAGGAATCTGTTAACAGAGAATGAGGAGGCTTTGAGGGAGTATTCTGGAAAATGACTCAGACATTAAAGTCAGAGGCTGATGTGTGTGAACAGAGAGCGAGGAACTTCTGGAATTCTCTTGCTAAGTCAATAAGACAAAACACATGATCAGTGGCTTCCATTAAGTGGACCTCCTGCCTAAGGAACCACAGCTTGCTTTCTCAAGTGTAGTTTTGAAAGGGGGTTTCATATGGTGATGCAGGTCATTTTTTTCTTTTCAGTCTTATTGTTGGGAGTATCACAGATCTCCCTCTCTGCTTTTTTCCCCATTGCCCTCCTCCACCAGGATCCTGCCCCACCCTATTGTCTGTGGCCATGGGTTATGCATAGCTGCATATAAGTTCTTTGGTTAATCTCTTCCTGCCCCCTCCCACCTTCCCGCTGACATTCTTCATTCTGTTCCTTGTTTCTATGCCTCTGGTTCTATTTTATTCATCTGTTTATTTGGCTCATTATATTCTTTATTCATTTATTTTTATTTTTGGATTCAACTGTTGATAGATATGTATTTATTTGCCATTATATTATTTTTATTTCTCCTTCTTCTTCTTCTTCTTCTTCTTCTTCTTCTTCTTCTTCTTCTTCTTCTTCTTCTTCTTCTTCTTCTTCTTCTTCTTCCTCTCCTTCTTCTTTTTCTTCTTAAAGGAGACCTTTTAACATTTTATGTAATACTGGTTTGGTAGTGATGGACTCCTTTAGCTTTTTCTTGTCTGTGAAGCTCTTCATATGACCTTTAGTTCTAACTGATAGCTTTGCTGGGTAGAGTAATCTTGGTTGTAGGTCCTTGCTATTCATCACTCCTATCTAATAGAAAGTCAATAGTGCTTGTAATTATAGGAGAATTAGCAGAGACCTGTCTGAGGCAAAAAAGAAGCTGAAATTGGTTTGCACTTGCAATCCTCTTGTGTAGATTCATTCAGTAGATTAGAGAAAGATCTCAAATCCCTGAGATTTTTAAATCTCTATTTACTGTTAGTTTTAATAGCGAACAAATTCAATTCCTGTAATTAACATGCCAAGTCTGTAGATTTAAGACAAATAACAAGTTTCCAGTTTTTATGATTTTTGGGGGGGACATTAAAAAAATGTTTAACAGGGTAAAACAAAACAGCAACCAAACATAATGAGCTTCAAATCCATTTTCAGCAACAGAGATTGCATTAGCTCAATCACCTTCTGTGTAGTGGAGTCTAAACTCAGTGTTCCTTGGGCATGCCTTGCCCCGGATTTATAGAGTTAATGAATGTCAGATGATGTGAGGGCAGGCAGCTCAGCGCTGGAAGCTCAAGTCTTAAGTACGGTTGTTTGAAAGACTATTTTTACGAGCTAACGGAGAAAGACCTTTTCACAGGGAGATCTAATTTCTTTTCATCTCACTTATTTGGTCCCTCCTAGGAGTTTTTTCTAGAATTAGCGTCAGGTCAGGTTCTGTTTGTCTTACACTCCTTTCCTTGCTTGGATTTGTCCATCTAAATAATTGGATCTTAACAACAATAAATCCATTTTAACCAAATTCCGTTTTTTATAGAGTCTTCAACAACAGGGTAAAGAAAAAGAATTGGCAATGCTTTTAACTTTAGAAGTAGCTCTTTTTAGGTGATAAGCTAAGAAAAGAGGTAACTTCAGAGTATAAATCGGGCTTGTTACAGGTCCACTCCTATCCAGTAGACTGATCCTTCCTGATGAATCCTCCCACCGCTCCCTGCTCCGCTCACACAGGGATCCCTGGCCTGCGTTCTGTCTTCACTTCAGACTTAGACACTTCCCAACCAAGTAAACCTCACAGCAAAAGAGCATTGCCTTCAACTCACTGTTCTGTCTTTGTTTTGTCACCCTTATATCTGCTACCACCTTCTCTTCCCTCTAAGTTTATTACATCAGGGAAATTTTCTCAGAAAAAGAACATCTTCTGTAAAGCATCCCCTATCTCAACAGAAGACCTCGTTCAGAATATTAAAAGGCGCACACAGCGTGTTCTGCAGTTCCAAAGCCCAGGCTGAAGAGAACACCTTGTCATCTCTGAAGAAAGTGGCACTATGTAAACTGAAGGGCAGGATTTCCAGAGACTGGGCAGCGTTTGCATATGTTTTATAGGTCTTTCCTGGGAAGATAGTGAGGTATCAAGACTCTTGGCCGTAGCAACTGGAAATGCTCTCCTACTGAAATGAGCAAAACCTGGGAGGAAGAGGTCTTGAGAAAGGGCTTCACCCAGAGCTGTATAGCAGA